AAGCATAGCCCCAGCATTCAAGGATCTTACAAATACACAGAGAAGTAAGCTGTTACAGCAAACAAGGAACTCCATTACATCATGGTAAATGCCAACCTAGAAAAAGTAAGCAAAGAGTCTGGAAGCTTTACCCAAAAAACTAACACCTGAGAGGATTTTAAAGGATGTGAATGAAGAGTTAGGTAGGTGGAGAAAGAGAAAGAGTATTGCATGCATGGGAAATAGCAAGTGCAAAGTCTCTGAGATTTTGAAAAAAAATTTTATATGTTGGAAGTGTTGCTAAACAGTAGCAGAAAGAGGTAAAACTGGAAAGGCATACAGGGTGTATACCAGGGATTTTCAAATTCTTTTTGTGAAGGATCTGGTTTTTTATTCCCAATATGTCATGGACTGGTATTTTTGGTCTCTATCCTGTTCAGTGAGATGAGACCACTGATCATGTGCTTGATGTCACGGCAATCCAGATGACCTCTAAATGCTCACTTTCAGTTTCAGTATTTCTTTCGTTTGTGTTTTCTATTTTTTCTTTTTTGTTTTCTTGTCCTGTTTATTTTTCTATTTCAGTAATTACTTCATCAAAGACTAGAAACAAACAATTCCTGGATTGGGCTGGTCCATGGACCACACTGAGCTGGATCATAAGGTTTTATTTTATTATGAAGGCAATGTGTAATCACTGAAGTCTATTTTTCCTAGTTTCCTCTTTTTAAATCATAGTTTTACTAGATAATTTACAATCCTAAGAGAGAGGTACTATTATTACTCTCCCTATTTTCTGGATTAGGAAAAATGTAGCTCATTATGGTTAAAAATTTTCTTACAATGTTACACTGAGAAAAAATATTGGCAACTCATCACAGGCAAGAGTCAATTTCCCTAAAACAATAAAAAGCTCCTGGGAATCAAAAGCTCAATAGAAAAAAATGGGCAAAAATATGAACAGACTGTTCACAGAAAAGTAAATACTAATAGCCTTTACTTATATGAAAACATGTTTAACTTTACTGATAACAAGATATGTACATTTAAACTCTACTGAGATATCATTGCCTAGGAGGCAAGCAAAAAGCCCAAAGTTTGACAAGTCATTCTATTGGTGGGTGAGGAAGAAAAAAGCACCCTCATGACATTACTAGTAGGAATAGAAATTGATACCATCTTTGTTGAAGGCAGATACCCTTTGGGGTAATCATTAAACAAATCCTTCTCTGTGTCTTTCAAGGTATAAGTACTACTCACTTGAAGTTAGATATGGTTATTATGATTTGCCTTAGCCAGGGAAATGTGAGCAAAAGTGACATACTGTATTTTCCGGGCAGAAGTTTCAAGAGTCAGAATGTATATAATTTGCTATATGGTCTCTCGTTTGTTATCTTTTCTTTCCCTCTACCACCAAGACTGGCAATGTTCTAGATGCTGGCGGCACCAACTGCCTGGATTGCAGAAAGACAGCTTCAAGCAGAACTCAACTAACATGTAGAATTACAAGCAGCATGAGCAAAATCAACCTTTGTTGTTTTAAGCCACTGACAAATGGAGGGCCATGTGGCAATATTTATCAAAATTGCCAATTTTGATATCCTCTCAAATACACTTACACACATGTAAAATGGCATATGTAAAAGGTACTCACTTGGATCATGGTTATAGAAAATGACTGGAAACAATCAAATGAACATCAACAGAAGACTAGTTAAATACCTGCACATTCATACAGGGGGAAATTATGCAACTATTAAAAAAAAGAAGTTCTCTTAAAGCAATTATGGAAGACTCTCCAAGTGAAAAAGTGTGTTTTTCACACTTTTTATACACACTAAGAATATTTCCAGATGTTCTTCAAGATATACCATCATTTGTGAAAAAAAAATGGGGGGAGGGAGATTAGAAATATATTCATATTTGTTTGTACTTACATAAAGAAATTCTAGTATAATAAGAAACTAACAAAAATTATTATTTTGGGGCATAGCATTAAGAATGACTCGGTGGAACTTTTAACTACAGGGAAAAGAAAATACCCTTGGTGCTTGCTATACTTAGCTTCTTACTGTCTCACAACCTCAATCAATCTGTCTGCAAATCTCATCTTAAGTATAAATGGTGTACTTCTGACTCTATCTTAAACTGTTATCAAATCCTTCTTTAAACTCTAGCTTGTCTTTCTTCTCTTGGCCATATCTAATCAGCTTCCAGTTACATTACCTGTGTTAAGAATATATTTATAATTGTTCTCTCATTCAATTAAGTGAAAATAGTTCTTAATTACTTTTAAATAAATCATACTTTTCTCTAAATAATTCCAAGCTTTGGCAACTTTGGCTATTCTTTTTGAGAGACTCTGAATTGCCTATTAAAAAGAAAAAGTCACAACAAACCGTGTCTGCTCCAGTATATAGTCTTGTTTTTCTCATTCAGAACTTTTCTTTTATGTCAAGGTTATTTTACTTTCCTTTATAATAATTACAAGAACCTTACTTCTGAAAAATTATAAATAAAATATTAATAAGTATTATGACACTGACTCCATAAACGTTCACTTGAACTGTTTATCTCATGTGGTTATGATTAAGCAGCCTTTATTCATGGAAATGTTTTTAGCACACATCCCTCAATATGTGTATGTTCATTTAAAAACTACAATTATACATGTATAATTGTATTAATATACTCATTACATTATAAACATTAAAATGTTAGAAGTATAAACAAAAACAAAAAACATTTAAGATTTATTAATGACACAAAAATATTTTTGCTGTCACTAAAGTTTAGCAGTAATAACATTTTTAGTGCAAGCAATATGATATAACATGCCTCATTATTTTTAAAATCTTGGTTTAACATTTTGATATAGAATGATTTGAAGGTCTGGTTCCACATTCAATTATTTCAATACTTGGTTTTCATAGCTGTCATAGCTGAAAAATATACTGACATATCGGTCAAATGAAAAAATGTACAATTGGTTCCTACGTACCAATTATTCAAAGATTTTGTTGAAATTTGGCTAATAACTTTATATTCTCTGATGTCTTACAAAATAGTCAGAAATATTTTTATATTTTTAACAAATAAGTTCAAACCTCAATGAAATTTTCAACAGGATTTTAAATATGTTAATAGACTTCTGCCAAGATTTTAGAACATGCAGTCATTAGTTTTTATGGGTAACACTCTTTGTTTCTGATAATAAAAGGATACACACACACACACTCACACACACACACACACACACACACACACACACACACACACCCCTACACACACACACACACACAAAAGGTAGCATTTTCAAACATCTGTATTGAAAATACTTTCTCCAAAGCAGCTACTTTTTCAATCATTATTAAAATACTATCTTCTCCCTGAAAGGTGAAATTAACAGTGCTTATATAAAGCTAGGACAATTTGAGCATCAAAATAAATGATAGTAAGGGATTATAACTCATATAATAAATTAGGAATCCATGAGTTCATACTATATAAATTGATGGGAGAAAAGGGAAATCTCTTCCTTATAGTAGAATGCCAACTAATTAACATAGAAAGGATAGTGGAAACAGAAAGTCACCATTTGGCAATCACCATTAGTGGTGGTAGATACAGACAAAAGTCATCAATGGATACTTAGCTGGTAGGTAGAGATTTGATGAGGAATAAGATATTGGCATAGTCTCAGAGTGCTGTACCACAAAACACTTATCAATTACAAAAGGAAAAACTGTGCCTTGACAGTGGAGAAACCTGGCTGATAGAAATTTAACTGGGTGATTAAAGTTAACATTACAAGGGGTAGGACAGGTTGACATCATGTACTTTCTGATGCAATTTATAAAAAAAGACCATCATCATTTTTGGTTAACTCCTACCAAAAAAGCATGGCCTGGACATGAGAAAACAATGGATGGACCCAAAAAGAAGAACATGCTACAAAATGAAAGACCTGTACCATCTGTTGAATTTGAGAAAGACTGAGGAACTGTTCTAGATTAAAGGAGACTAAAGAGACATGACTAGTAAATGTAATATATCAGCCTGGATTGGATCCTGGACCAGAAAAGAAAAAAGACATTGTTGGGATGGTTAGACAAATTTGCACAGGGTCTTGGTGATAGTGTTGTCATTGTTGATTTCCTGATTTGGATAGTCATATTGTGGTCATAGAGGAGAGCAGCCTTGTTTTTTGGGAAATAAAAAAAGGAATATTTTGAAGTGACAGAACATCAAGTCTCCAACTTTTGCACAAATGGTTCAGAAAAAGATTAATAATAATGGATGGAGGGTGATGAAGCATATATAGTAAAATGTCAAAATCGGGGCATCTTGGTGAGGAAGACATGGGTGTTCTGTATACTACTGTTTTAGCAACCTTTCCCTAAATTTAAAAAAAAATTAAGAGTGTTTACACATGTGAGCATGCTTGCATTTTAAATATCTGCCAGGTAGTATACTGACAGTCACTTGTCTTTCTGCCTGAAGACTATCTACGGACACACAGATAAGGACACTTCAAACTTATAACACTAAAAGTAAAAAAACATTTTACTTTTAGTTTTTTACAGTTTCAGATCTTACTGTGTTGATGCACTGGGCTTTAAATTAGGGAAGCCCATTAGAAATTTCTTACATTGTGTAAAATTTCTGGCCCTGTATAGGTCAGCCAGTGCTACAACAACTGACCCTAAGAGGCCTTGAAATTGTCCCTTGTCCTGAACTCAAAATAAAATGACCTCAAGGTGATTACGATACTAAAAATAGAATTTAACTTTACCTTCAGGCTCTCAACCCACTAGGTCTGTTTGATTTCCATTAATTAGCATAGAAGGAAGGCCATGGCCACCTCCCACCTCTAAGAGCTCTAACTTAACTTGTAATGCATTCCCCAGAAGCACACTGTAAGAAGATGACTAATCACTGACTGCTACTTTAGCACCATATGTCTCCCAATTTCAAAGGAAAAAGTGTCCCAGCTACTACAAGAACAACAGATTTCCTACCTCCTGCAGCTGGAGTCGAACCTTGGTAACTGCCCGGATCCAGTGTGCTTTGGCTTGGGTAAATGGTGAAGATGCATTCTCCTCAGGAAAACTTGTAACAAAGCAAAGAATAGTCCTTAAAAATAGCCCAGGTCACAAGGTAACAGTGCTCAAGGCAAAACTGCCAATTATCTAAAATAAAATGGTTTATATTCATGCCTAAACTTGTTTAGCGATTCAGGCATAGTCCTAAATATCTGATGTGAAAAAAATTCCTCTCTAAAATGACAAGTCCTTTTAGCTTTTCATCTGTTCTCTCTCTTCCTTCCCCTTTTTCACTCACCTAATGAGGCAGCTCACTGTGACAGTCAGGAAGGAGGATATTAGAAGCAATGCAAGGCCCTGAGTCAATGTCTAGAATTAAAACTATGCAGAGGTGTGGAGTAACTCTCTCATCTCACCTCTCAAGACCACCAGCCTCCCCTGGGGGTCTACATACCATCCTTAGGGCAGTACTTTGTTCCTGCAAACCCTTCCTGCTCCACTAAGTATTTTGGAAAGCTTACCAATTCCTAGACATCATCAAAAGCGTGAAGGAAAAAAGCACAGCCCTTTTTCTGCCATGATCTTATTCTTTGAGTTGCCTCAAGAACACCTTCAGTGAAAAGAAGAATAAATACAACAAAGTAGCTTTGAGATGGAAATACTACCCTGTATCAGAACAAACCATCGTCCAGGTCCTTAACTGTAGAATTGTGGTTGATTCTTGGTGATAATGCTTCTCTTTTCTCCCACTGGGGTCTACTGCCAAGGCAGCAAATAAGTGTCCACCATCTAGACATGTAAAATATGTATGCTGTACTCTAATGCCATTTAACTGGGTCAATTATTCTAAAACATTTGTAGACACTTCTGGCCAAGGTAGAACTGGACTTCACTTGCACAGCTAGGACCTGAGAGGATACAACCAGTAGAGAAGGACAAATACTCATGCTAGGTATTTCTGCTGCTCTACCAAGAACCCTACCTAGACATCTGCCAAGTCTAATATCTACAAAGAGCCACCTTTCAGTGGGTTGTCAACCCAGTAAAAAAATCTGGTCCGGAGCTCAGCCTCCTGGATGTCTTATCTATTAGCTGAGCCACCAGGGATAACTAAATATCAGGAAAAAGTAAGAAGAAGAGAAAATATGTTTATACCTTCAGTGGTGGAATAGACGTACCAACCATTCTCAAACTTTTACCACGTAATCAGCATCCACTGCTCTAGTCTTTCAGTGAGAAGCTGCATTATTAGATAGACCTTGATATTTGAGAATCTCAGTCATGCCTAGCTTATCACTTTACCTTGGTGGTTTTCAACTGGGGGCACTTTTGTCCCCCAGGGGAATTCTGGCAATATCTAAACACATTTTTGGTTGTCACAACAGAGGGCTGCTACTGGCATCTAGTGTGTACAGGCCAGGGATGCTACTAAACATCCTACAATACATACAATAGCTCTCCATAAAAAAAAGTTATCTGGCTCAAAATGTCTATAGTGCCAAGACTGAGAAACCCTGCTCTGTCGCAACCTATCAGCAACTCTACTGACCAATTTAGCTCAATAACAACACTCAAACTCTGTACTAAGTTTCATTACAAGACTGGGTACCAATTGCCAGATACACTGCTAGGCCCTGGGAAGGCTGAGGGGTGGGTTAGATCTGGCTTCTAGACCAATTCTTTCTTGATACTATCCTCCTGGTTTTCTCAGCCAGGAAACAAAACAAAACAAAAAGCAATGTTCCCAAAAGAATTTTAAACATTAATAGGCTAGGAAGCCTATTTCATTCAAAGCAGCTCCTTTCAATGAAATAATCTGTAGGGCTCAGTTCAGTTCCGGACTCAGGGGCTGCCATATGAGGGGTCAATTAGTAAGCCAAGAACCGCAGATTCAAGAAGGCCTGGTACACTGCAGCTAACTACAAGAACCCAAGTGTTCTTCAGAGGTCCTCAAAATATCTTGGGAATTATACCAAATCAAAGAAAGCAGTGTAGAGCTAAGCCTCAGTACCCTGATCACCACCATACCAAGCTGCAGGGAAAAAAATAAAAAGCACTTATATTCAGCAATATCACAGGGCAGGTCCTGAGGAAACCATGTGAGCTCCTCAAGGCAGCCATTACCTACCTCTCCTGGGGGCCTAGGACGTGGTCTCTGTGTAGCACCAGATCTGGGGGAGGATGAGTTGTGACATCTTCTTTCATCTCCTTGGGTTCACATGCTCTCCCCTTCTCTTCTTCACCTGTCACCTCCAAGCCTCTCTCTTGTTCTCCAAAACCCGCTTGGCCATCTCTGGAGAAGCTGCCAGAGCTGCGGCAGGAATGAATCGAGTCCCTCTCCCGACAGTCATCATCTTGTTCGTGACATTGGTCTAGTTCACTCAGCTGAGAGCTTCCTGGGCTCACATTACAGGAGGAGCCATACCTACTACTGCTGGTGGGGCTGTGAGAATGAGAGGGAGACAGATGAGTAAATGAATGCAAACTAGGGAACAGGGCAAAAGTGATGGATTAATACAGGAAATAATGGTCATAGCAGTGGCAAGAATCACAAACAGGAGGTTCCTGGGAAAAGAGGACCAAACTTTACAATCTAGAAGAACTAGTCTCTACTCAACAGTCATGACGGGGAAAAAAATACATGCTGGGTTCTCCAGCAGCACTTAACTTCAACCCTGCAATTGACTCTGCAGAATACTTTATCTTAATGTGATGTTTATAAGTAGATTAAGAATTATTAAAACAGTCTGTTGTTTACGCCTAAAATTCTTTACTCGGACTTCTAGAAACTTGTCCAGTGGCTGTGATTAAAATTTTCTAATTTCCACATAATAAAATGAATGAACTCTAATCCCTTTTTCTTATTGGTTAAACTGAGGTCCCCTTTTCTTCCTCTATAATTTTAAATGCATATGCCTATTCCTTAGGATAAGCAAAGGGGAATGGATATGTTCCTTCAATTATCTCTCAGCCCTCAGTGTGATGAGGTAATGGAAGCCATTGGGAGATGGAAGCTAGGATCAAGAAATTCCTCAGGAGATCTCACTGACCATTCATCTCATGAATGTTACAGTGATATCCCTGTCAGCACAGGGACTGTCCCAAAGACAAAGTTGCCCATCTGTAACAGACTTGCTCTCAGGACATAGCTCAGTCCTGGATAAAGTGGACAAAGTCCAACTCCAGGATCTGAGTCAAGGCCATATTAATGCATTTCTATACCTGAAGAGAGTCCAGCCCAACTCCTCTCTCAGTCACCCTGAATTCCCATACCCAGAAAGGAAATTTGTTCCCATTTGGACCAGAGGTCAAAGCAGCATTCTTTGTATGATGCTCCTTCTTAGGAGAAATAACAGTACCCTTTGCAGATGGACCCTGCATAATGCTCCAGACTGAAGAACTACAACATACAATAGCCCTAAGCTCCTGCAAGACTTTTTACTCAAAGCACTTATCAGACATCAGTGTCAAGGGTAGTAAAAGGCACAGACTGGAAGGAGCTATGCAAATCCATGTGGAAGAGGATGCGGAATATAGATTATCCCAAGCCATACTTTGCATTTCGTGTTTTAGTTAAGTTAATGCCCTCATTGCCACTGGAGAAAGCATCTTAGAAGACTTGTAAAAGCAAAGCAATGTAGGTCTCTCCCCAACTATTACAGATATAAGTACTGAAGGCCTAAGGAAGCATCTTAGCCTATCATGTAGTTGGAATTAATATATGCCACTCAACTACTTGCTGCCTCTTCCCACCCTCCCTTCTCCACTCCAAGTTATATAAGGCAGAACAAATCCGGGTGAGTAAATCTCAGGGCCTAGACTTTCCTTTAAGCAGGAAGCTCCTTGTTCCAATAAGTAAATTATATTTGGCACTAGAGAGGAGGGAGAGGATGAAAAGACCCACACATTACTTCTTGTTACTTAACCTCTAATTAAACAAAGCTCAGGTGCTAGGAAAGACACAGGAAGGATAAAAAGCAGACTATGACTAATCCATCACTAATTCATTGCATCATAAATGGTCAATTCCTTAAAATCATTTATGATGCTTTAGTTGAAAACAGGCCTTTTGCTGATCTTTGGTTCCTTGATGCCATGCAGGGTAACTGGCTGCTGTACATTCAAAACAGAGTCAGTGCGAGTGGGCACCGCCTCCTCTTCTTGTGTTTCTGGCTGGTGAAGTAGCTCAGAGACAGTGCAGTGCTCTTCCTCATGACTTCCTGAAGGACAGGTGGGGCCAGAGAGGTTGCCTGTGGTACCCCAGTGTTCTCCAGATGCTGTGATTTCCTGCTGGTTTTCCACTTCTCCAGGTCCTGAAAGCCCATGAGTACATATACTTGGCTTGGCCTCCAGCTGCTCAGAGGTCCCAGCGGGCTGAGTAGAGACCTTAGCTGGCTCAGCACTGGCCCTAGACATTTGAGAAGACTCCAAAACTTTGTCAGCCTCACTAGAGATAAGGTCCTGATCACTGCTGATAACCAAAACTGGAGAGGGGGTTTCTGCAGGCATTTGTTCAGAACCCGCTTTGTCCCCTTTTGGCCATGGGAATAGAAGATCCAGCTTCTTCCCAAACCTTAGTTTGGGATCACTTGCCACTACACTCCCTTTCCGATCATTACCTCCCTCAAATAGAGTTGACAATTTCCTAAAACCCGATATTAAACCAGTCTCTGCTGCTCTATTGCCAGGGGAGGAAGGAGAGGAAAAGAAAGAGCTCAGTGGTTTCCCATAGTCAGCAGCAGAGGACGGGAAACGAAGCTTTGGCCAATTGGTCATGTTTGGGATCTCAAAGTGTGATCTTGGCTGCTCTGCTTCCTGGGGGACCGCAGGGGGATCTTTCTGAGCATCAAGTATCCCATAACTTTCTTTAGCACACAGTACAGGTTCCTCCAGCAGAGGGTGAGAAAGGGATCCTTGGGTTTCCAGTGTGGCACTCTGGCCAATGAAACTTGTCTCACTGAACAGTGTAGTAGTATTGGTTTCTAGTGAATTGTCTGCCTGTGGCTCTAAGAAGTCTTGGCTTGGAAAGGCAGACTGCATAGCTGGCTTTGGCTCAAGAGGAAGAGGAGGCTGAATTGGAGGAGGAAGCTCTATGGCAATGCCAGTAGCATCTGGATGCAACTGTGGTGGCAATGAAATATGCTCTGTTTCAAATGATGCTTCTGTGTCTGTGCCCTGCAGCGTCCCCATGTCTCCTTCATCACTCAGAGACAATACTCCTTGTCCAGTATCGTCCCGTGAGACAGAAGATGCAGCCCCAATTGTTTCAGAACCCTGGGGTTTGGGAATATCATCAGGAATACTGTTTTCCATTGCAGTTGTAAGTTTAGGATCGTCTGTCAAAGTCTCAGAATCTGACTCTGCACTAACCACAGTCATTCTACAGTCACTGAGAGTAAATTCTGAATCGAATGCTACAGGCGCAGCTTCTCTCCACAAATTTTCTGGAGGTACTGATCCTACAGTGTCTCTGGAACTACCACTTTGGAGCCATGCAGTAGCTGAGATAGATGATTCTTGTTTGTATGCCTCTGGTTTGGGACTTTGGAAAATTCCAAATAACTCACCTTTGCGTGACTGAAATGATGTACCAGAAGACAGAGAAAAAAAGGAGTCTTTCTTTGGAGGTTTAGGACAGGAGAAAAATCCAGAGAAAGTTTTGGGAGGTTCAATTAAACTCCCAGAGAAAGATTTCACTTTGGTCACAAACCCTGAAAGTATTTCTACTGAAGTGCCCACCACTGATTTCTCTTCTTCTTTATCTGCATCTTGGCTCTGGAGGTGCCTTGCACACCCTGGCTCCGCAGACGAAGAGGTTGGCTCCTGGGTCTGTGTTAACACCTCATCAGAGGCCTTTTCTAATGGCAAGTTCAATGGGTCACTAGCAAATCTTTCATTTTGGTGGTGGTTAGTACAAGTGTCTAAATTGTTGAGCTTTTCAATTAAATGGCTATCATGAGAAAAAGACCTGGCCAGTGAGCCACTGGGGGAGGCTTCCTGTATGAAATCCTCTTCTTGAGGAGCTACCCCCAGGGTCTCAGGACCAATGAACAGTGTTTCATTCTGTGCCTGAAATCCTGGTGAATGAGAAACAACGTCCTTCTGTAACTGATTCATCTGGAAATCTGCTAACGGTAGCCCTGATCCATTAGTGGAACCTAGTTTTCCTTGATAGTCCTTCCCTACATTGAGCTCATCTTCAAGGGATGTAACCTCAGTGGTATTGCTAATGGAAACACAAGGAGCCATCTGCTGTTCATGAACTACCTCCTGGACTGTGCTATCTCCACTGCCATTGGAGCCTTCTCCAGTTATTGTGCCACCCAAGTCTACAAAAACAGTTGGCTTCTTACAGGGCTGGGAAGTCACTGGCGCAACAGTTGAAAGGCTATGCTTTTCCCCAGGAGTCTGCTGTTTTTCATCCAAAAAGGACAAACTGAAGAAACTAAAAGAGCTAGTATGAGGCGCATCCTTCTTGATACTTGAATTAGTAGTGGAAAAAAAGGAAGGAAGTGTGAATAGCCTTTCCCCTTGAGACTTGGTTCTTGGTAGAGTAGCAGAGGCTCTGTTCTCAGATTTTTCAGATCTAGTTATGAAAGAAAATATACTGTTTCTGGTTGGCAACTCTGGTTGGGATGGAGATGTTGTAACAGTTGAAAAACTCCAGTCTTTGTCAGAAAAATGATCTTGTTCATTTAAATGTTTTCTGCTTAGAATATCAAAAGGTATTTTATTATTTCTTGAAACTCCTGTCACTGTAGATATACCACTAGTTGCTGCTGAAGAATCTGTGAGACAACTTGTTGAGAAAGATGGATTTGGTGACTGCAGGATTAGGTAGTCTCTGAAGGGTGCTTCTTCAGTCAAATTATTACCCTGGATATCTGTAGCTGATGGTTCCTTTAGCCCGCTGTCATCAATGGTAGTCTGCTTAGTCAGACTTCTAGCCCGAACCTTCCCTCTAGAGGAAACTGGTGCAACAGGAAAGTTCCCAACATCCTGGCCAGTTAGCTGTGTGAGATTAGGACTTGACTTCACCTCATCCTTTTTAGTCACTGAAGACACAGACATATTTTCAGCTGTCTGTGTAGGAGATACATCGGTTTTTAAAAAATCCCTAAGGGTACCAAAAAAATTTGAAACACCAGAAGATTCATTCTTTTCCTGAGATGTTATCTTCCTATTTTTATCACCATTCTTTTCTAAGTTTGGTGGTCCTTCTTTATTCACTTGGGTTTTAAAGAGGTTCAAAAATCCAGAGGCCTGTTTTTCATTTGCTGTCACACTCACTGAAAAGTCTTTTCCCTGACCAAAGAGTTTCATCGCGCTTTTAAATAACGTTCTCTCAGACTCTTTGGAAGACTGGTGCTGGGGAAGCTCACAATTCTTATGTTCATCCTTACTAAACTGTGATGAAAGAGGAACTGAAACAGAGTCAGCTGTAATGATTTCATCATCTTCTAGACCTAATTTAGCCTGAGGAGTTGTTTGGCTTACCTGGAAAACAGATTTCAACAAACTTTGTTTTTTCATATGAATGCTTTTATTTAAAGGGAATTCTTGCTTTGTATTTTTAGTAAATTCTGGTTGTTGAACACTGGATACTATTTGTCTCTCTGAATCCTTCTTAAGAAGACTTTCCACCTCATTTTGGGAGTTACTCTTAGATTGCTTACTCAAGATTAATGACTGAAAACCATCATTTGTGAGTTCTGCTAAGTTTGACTGTTGATCCTTTTTCTGCATGACCAAAGACTCTAGGGAATCATTCTTATCAAAATTCAAAGTACTTTCAACTGGAGCACCCAAGGCAGAAAATAATGAAGTCACTTTGTTCAACGATGATGTTTCTTTTGTTTGCTGTGGGCTATTGGTCATATTCTCAAGATGAACCAAAGAGGCACCTTCTTCAGAAGGCTGAACCCAATGAAAACTGGAAAGTTGAACTAATGAATCTAGGTAAGGACCTAGAGGATGGTTCTTCTCTCCCTCTGTAATTTGATTTTTATTTAAGACATGATTACTAATAATTTGGGGCTGATTTCCAAGATCCAATGTACATTCAAAGTCTTCAGAACCACACGGCCTTTCTTCAAAAGATCCAAGATTGCCTTTGAACTTTTGAGAATTATAGCCTGAAAAATCTAATGGCTGATCTATTTGGCCATAACTTGACTCTTCAAGTACTTGTGAAATGGTTCCTAAATTTAGATACATGGGTCCCTCACTTCTTGGCAAAACTACAGATAAATCAAGAGGGTCATCAATTGGTTCTTTAACATAACACAATAATTCATCTTCCTTGTCAAATACTTCAAAACTACAGGCAGAAATAATGCTGTCATCCAATATAATACTTAATAGATCATTTGTCTGTAAATCACAATTCAAAAACTCTTGATAAGAACAACCAGGTATAAATAAATATGCATACTGTCCAGTAGAATCAGTGAGAACAGAATAGACATATTGACCATCGTGGAACATATAATACCCATAGTCTCCATCCTCTGATGGCCACCACACTCCACTTTCAAGACATGACAACCATTCCTGGTATTCATAACCAACACTTGAAAAAACAAAGTCTTCACCCATCCTTAATGATTCTTTATCAACTACAGGACATGTAGTCTTTTCATAACCTGAATAACTTAAGTCAATGGGCAAGTCTTCTAGTGAATTCCTAGTCTCATTAATTGGAAGATGACAAGAATTTCCATATAATGACTTAGCTGCCCACATATCGTTTCTTAATAAATAATCTTCATTAAATGCAAACTGCTCGAATGATTCACATGGTAAGTCACACCAAATGACAGTGTTTGAATTTGTTCTCCGCTCCAAGATATTTGCATTTTGATCTTTTTGGCAAAAACTTATTGCTGGGTTTTCTGAGTCAGGCCACAAAAAAACATCAGCTGATGGAAATGTATTTTGATTCAACATGTAATAATCTGGCTCAAGTTTTCTGGAATTTTTAGAGAAATCTTTTTTATCTGAGTCCCATTCATAACAGAAAGGATTGCTCATCTCTTCGAAAGCCTGACAGTGGTTTGATTTATGAAGAATGTTAGTATTTCGCATAGGTGAATTTGATTGGTTTGAATTTTCATAGAGGTTTGCCTCAAGAACATGGTATGGTGTCGGCCTCTTAGCCGAAGATTTCTCTAAGAGGTCCTGCTGAGCACTTGGAGCACAGTGAAGCACACTGTTCTCAGAAGAGAGGCAATGCTTTTCACTTTGCTGGTTTTTCTGTGTAGGAGGGCAATGATGATTATCAACCCAAGCATCAGATAATGATATGTTTTCTTTAGGTAAAGATAAGTTTTTTGTGAAATTAGAAGTTTCGTGTTTTTCAGAATGGTTCCTCTGGTTCTCAGAAGTCACACAAGAAGTAACAGGGATCTCATCCAAGGATAAATGCTTATTTCCATTTAAACTCTTCCTGTCACCTAAAGATATGGACTTTGCTTCATCTGGTTTACAATCAGTCATACTGCTATTAGATAACAAGTTAAATATTCCAGAGCATAAACTCGGAGTATTATTCCTATGATGAGAGTCATCAGTTTTCAAATTTAATTCCTGTGGACTAGACAAGTTTTCAAGAGAAGAGAACCTATTAAACAGGCCAGAAAGGAGGCCTCCTTCAGTTGTTTTCTTGGAAGCTTTATTTACAAGTTTGTCTTTACTACTTTCGTTAACCAAGGTGGATTTTGAAATGGTAGAAGTCAATGCTAATGAAGAGCCAGATACTGTTAAAGATGTCACTTGTGTAAGAGTCTTACTTTCTCCCAAAGAATCAGAAGGTATATGTTCTTTGGGCACAATTCCAGGGATGGCTAAAGTATCTCTTTCACAGTTCTCTACTGCTATGTGGTTACCTGAATTTAATGCCTTTATACTCCCAAACTTCCCAAGATTATTAATATTTGGAACTGAATCAGACTTTATTTTATTAAGTGTAGCATCTTCAGGACAATTTATTTGGTCATTCTTATTAAATGTCTCTGTATCACCAAGTTCCCCCAGATTATTATGAATATTTGGAACTGAATTAAATTTTATTGAACTAAGTTTGGCATTTTCATGACAGTTTCTTTGGCTCTCTTCATCAATAGTCACTTCTGAGCCATGAAAACTCTGGTCATTGACAGTGATATGGCTGTCAGTGAAAGGACATTTAAACAAAGGAAAAATGCTTCCTTTCTCTCTTAAATCTTGCTGATTTTCAGAATGACTAAGAACTCTAAAAAATGGAATATGTAGTTTTCCACTAAAAGAAAAGGAATGTCCATCTTTCTTAGGACCGCTTTCACATCCCTCTTCCTCCAACTGGTGAATTTTCCTAGATTCTGACAAAGTTTCCTTTGAACAAGTCTCATTGGAAGCAAGCAAAAACTGGCTAAAGGATTTTCTGAGTGGCTCAAGGAAATCATCATCATCAGTAACTTTGTCTCCCTCCAATGGCTTTGAAGAAGGCTCTTTATTTGCAGTTCTACTGCCAGCTACACAAGGATATCCTGGAGTATCTTTGGCACATATTTTTGGTTCACCTGGTAACAGAGACAGGTCTATACAGGGTTTTCTTTCCAACAGACTCTCAATATCATCTTTCTTACTTGCAGAACTAACTAAATGTGAAGGCTCACTGGCCTCTTGGGAAGACAAGAAATCCTCACTCGTGGGCATTTGGGACAACCCTGTAGTATCTCCATTACTCCTATCTAAAGTGATGATGCTACTGTCATTGCCAAGGGTGTCTTCCCTTTGATTTAACTCCAAGCCATACTCAGCGAAGCTTTCCTTTCTTGTTACCTTTTTCTTACCATCTTTTTTTATTTCGTCCTTTTCCGAAAAGATCTTTAATGGAGTTAGCATGCTGAAAACAGACTTTATAACTGAACTCGGCCTCTGTGGAGCAGAGTCCCTTCCAGTAGTTTCTGTTGCATCCTGAAAGTTTAAACTTCCAGTTTTAACGCCTGTGTGCTCCTTTTCAGAGGTTTTGTCATGTCTACCCAAATCCTTATTATCAACTGTTTGAGAATATAATGGAGATTGCACGGAAAGATCCTTCTCCAATACTGACTGGGCTCTGGGTCTAGATCCTGAATTAATTGTCTTTATCTGATTAAGGGTTTCTGTTTTCTCTGGAACTAAAGAAACCAGCTTTTCCACAGAGGTTGTTAGATGCTTTGTGCCTGGGCCTACCTTTTCTGTGAGTGAACTGAACAAAGAACCAACAGCACATTTCACTCCATTCAGCTCAGGAAAAGAGATGGCCTTGTCCTTGTTATTCTTGACAATTATAGGTGGTATTTGATCCCCAGGTATTTTTTGTTCTGCATTATCAATAGTGCTATTGTGTTTAGGTGTTTTTTTAGTTTTTGAAAAAGAACCAAATTTGTTAATCTCCTCTTCTTTCTCTGCTAAATATTCTGACACTGTTTCTACAAAACACTGAAGCTCATCCATTGTATCAATATAGTCTTCCTTGGGTTCCTCAACAGAAGAAAGGGTCACCTCTTTTATGGGGCAGCCAGACAGATCTCCAAATGTGTTTGCATCACAATTCATCTTTTGTAATGGGAATGCTGGATCTGCTACATAATATTCTTTAGGAAAGCCTCCAATATGATAGGCATTGGCTGGAAGACATGTTGGTAATAGTAAACCTTCTTGCTTATCACTAATAGGGGAATCCAAAAGTTCATCAGAAGTACTACTAGTAGAACCTTCAAGAATATCCAATGGAATGAAATCAGTGACATGCTGGTTTAAGCCTGGCAGTTTTTCATAGTTCTTAAAACCAGGAAGATCATAAACATGACTTTCCAACTTAGTGCCACTCTTAACCAGAAATTCATTTTTGTAGGGATACAAAACTGGGTAATTTTGTTTCTTCTTTTCAATGTGGCAAAGGTTACAATTTTCACTACTGGGATATGTACTTTTGAAGTTAGTCTTGGTTCCTGATCTATTATTATATTGTCTTCTTTCACTGTCTTCAAAATGACTATATAAGGGTTTCTTTTTCCTTCTCCTATCTATTGTATCATATTTCCAAGGATATCTAGAACAAACAGATGTTTCCAACTTAAGGTCAAAATTAAAGGCAGTAGAGATTTCTGTTTCTTGGCTCTGAGATGGTATCTTTTTCCAGTTCTTGTACTTTGGTTGTACTTGTTTACTATAATATTTATCAGTTTTTGAAAGAGTTCTAATTTCTTTTACTTCTGCTTCTTTTATATTTATGTTACTGTTTTCTAAGAACTCTTGAGATATTTTCCCCTCTATCTCCTCATATATACCTTCTTGCTCTTCATAGTCAACAT